TGCGAAAGACCAGTGTCCGCATTTGTTTCCTTTTTGTTGCATTTGCGAAGGTGTCAGAATTGTTCAAGCTTCGCTTTTGCGAGTTCGCATTTTCGAACCCAGTGTCGCAAATTCGACATCTACAGCTTGCTTATAGCTGAGTATTCTGAAACTTAGCTTCAATTTATCATGTTTTTGAACCCTAACCTCGATGGGAGGCGATTCTGTGGAAGGATTTTCATACCAAACCGTTGGGTAGGTGCCTCTAATCAATTTTCAATCATATTTTATGATTATACATTTGATTTAACATTAAATTCATGAGAATCTAAGGGAAAAATTTGGGGATTTTGTCAAAATTTTGAAAAATGAAAATTTGGAATTTAAGAGTCTAATTGGACTCGGATTTGGAAACAAACGAATATGGACTCATGGGGCTATGGGTAGTCAAGACCAACCTTTGAACCCGGATTTTGACCGGGCGGGCCCAGGGTTAACTTTTGTTGACTTTTTAGAAATTGTATAAATATCATATCTTCATTAATTGAAATTGTTTTCTCTTGAATTATGTGATGTATTTAAGTCGTCATTGGCTAGATTGGGCCGAGCGGAGGGGAATTTTTAAAGGAAAAGCTGATTTGAGTATTGAGTTGGCCGAATTGAGGTAAGTGTCTTGCCTAACTTTGTATGGGGGAAACTACCTCTTAGGATTTGAGTTCATTGTGCATATTGTGTTACGTGAAAGCCGTGTATGCAAGGTGACGAGTAGGTACACGGGCTATGTGTAGTATTTGACCGGTTTAGGTTATCTAGACTCTTTCCATTCCTCTAATTCAGTTGTCCTGACGGGTTATGTCTCTCATTGTTATTCTGTTCCTACATGCTTTATTTGACGTTTTTAGCACTTAATGCACCCTTTACTTGTCATTTTTCCCTTACATGTTTTAGCTGGGGTTATTGCCTTTCTTATTGTTTTGTGACCTCTTAATTGTTACGTTCTTTTCATGACTCCGTGCTTATCAGCTACTTATTTAAATTGTTGTAATTGCACGCCTTAGTTGTCTCGTGCTTTATTTGTCCTGTTGCTTTTGTAATATTTGTTATTTTCCTTGATTTTTACGTGATTCCTTTATTATCGTGTACTCATACCCTATGATTGTAGATAATATTTTAAATTGAGTATTAGATTGCTGATGTTATTGATCTATTTATGGATCGGGTTGCGCGCCGCAACAAGTGGAATAAGGGTGAATTTATATTGATACGGTGGGATTGGGTTGCGCGCCGTAACATGTGAAATAAGGGTGGATTGATATGGTGAGATAAGGGGGATTATGATATTGACTCTGATTATATGGTAGGATAGGCTTGCGCACTGACATATATTTATTTATTGTTATTGATATTTATATGGTGGAATATGGGAGGACAGTGTTGTACGGTGGGATCGGGTTGCGCGCTGTAATAGTTTATTTGTTTTGTATCCCTTGGTGTAATGTGTTGGCTTCGGTTATTTCATACGACACATTGAGGATTGGTATATCTGGTTTTTATTGGTTTTCGAGGATTGAGTTGTTTTCATTGCTTTGCCGTCATTTCCTGTTTTCCTTTCCTATTACTATTATTTTGGTCAATTGATTTTTAAGATGAATTTGCTACGCTGAGTCATTATCTCATACCCTGTTGTGTTTTTATTATCACAACGGTTTTAAATAAAATAATTAATAACATGCTTACCCTATGTGAATCTTGCGTTAAAACTCGTCGTTTCATTCGGTACCTTAATAGTCGTCATATTTAACTTTAACCAATTTATCAACTTAATCTCCTTACCCTATCTGATGTTTCTACTTTACTTTAAAAGGAATTACTATTATGTTTTAATTTATTTAAATTCCGTATTCAAATCCGTAGCTTATCCGATGCCTGTTTTTATTTGGAAATGTTATTCTCTTCACCCAAAATGTTTTTCCAAAATAAACTCATTTCTCATTGATTTCCTGTTTGGTTCAGAAACTGAAATTTTACTTTATTATATATGAATAGATCCCTCGAATATTATTTATATCATTTGACACGGATACTATGTACCTAGTAGCACGTGGATTCTGTCGTGCGAAGTGATATGGAAAATGTAGGCACAAGGTGCCATGTGTATTAAAGGTTTGGAAGTTGTGATTTATGATCTGAGATTACGAGAAGTGGGATTGTTGAAATTCGTGTATTAGGAATGATTTGATTGGTTGAGTTATCATCATTTTCCCTGCTTGAACACATTCATACTTCATTTGTACCCCGACTATGTTTTTGCTTAATTACTTGGTTATTTCTCGTTGCCATTCGTGCTCCCCTTATCTTCACTGTTGATTGAAATTTGAATTCCTTATGCTATTGTCCTTACATTGATATTCCTTCCTTGTTAGCTTTATGTCTTATCCTGCACATGTTTAGATGTCCGCTAGGTGTCTTGACCTAGCCTCGTCACTACTCTACCGATGTTAGGCTTGATACTTACTGGGTACCACTGTGGTATACTCATGCTACACTTCTGCACATTTTTGTGCAGAACCAGGTACTTTGGATTGAGTTGGTTTTGAGGCTTATGCTTGTGCAGCTGGGGACTTCAAGGTACACCTGCTGGACGTTTGCAAGCTCCGAAGTCACGTTCTGTTGTTTTTATTTCCATTATTTCCTACTATTATGGAACAGTGATGTATTCATTATATATAGTTACTCTTAGAAAGGCTTATGACTTGTACTACCGGTTCTGGGATACTGTATTATGTTGAGATTATTGGCTTATTCTGAAGTTTTCGGTTTATGATTAATAGTTGTCTAGTAGAACCTATTTTCATTTCGGTATGTGTTAGGCTTACCTAGTTTTAGAGACTAGGTGGCATCACGATTTCTTCGGAGGGACTTTGGGTCGTGACAAACCACCTCCCCCGCCTCAAGTTGAGATCCTTTCACTTAAACAAGTACTGTAGACTCCGATGATCTATGAATACCTCGCACGACACACCGTAGAGGTAATGCTTCCAAATCTTTAATGCATGAACAATAGCTACTAATTCTAAGTCATGAATAGGGTAATTCTTCTCATGAACCTTCAGCTGCCAAGACGCGTATGCAATCACCCTGCCATCCTGCATCAAAACTGCACCAAGCCCAATACGTGATGCATCACAATACAGAGTGTAGGATCCTGAACCAGTGGGCAACACCAACACTGGGGTTGTAGTCAAAGCAGTCTTGAGCTTCTCAAAGCTCAACTTACACTCATGGACCACCTGAATGGAGCACCTTTTTGGTTCAATCTAGTCAACGAGGATGCGATGGATGAAAAGCCCTCCACGAACCGGTGATAATAACCTGCCAAACCCAGGAAGCTCTGAATCTCTATAGATGAAGTAGGTCTAAGCCAGTTCTAAACTGCCTCAATTTTCTCTGGATCCACTTTAATGCCCTCGGCAGGTACAACATGCCCCAAAAAGGCAACCGAGTACAACCAAAACTCACACCTTGAAAACTTTGCATATAACAGACTATCTCTCATAGTCTGAAGTACAATCTGAAGATACTGCTCTTGCTCCTCTCGACTGCGGGAAGAGATCAAAATATCATCAATGAAGATGATCACAAAAAAATCCAACAACAACAATAACGTACCCAGTATTATCCCACCCCGTGGGATCTGGAAGGAAAGTGTGTGTGGGATCTGGGAGGATAGTGTGTACGCAGACCTTATCCCTACCTTGTAAGAATAGAGAGGTTGTTTCCAATTGACCCTCGGCTCAGGAAAGCATAAGCACAACATTAAAGAAAATATAGACAAGAAGGGACAGCACCAAAAAGCCATATAAAAGCAGAATAAAAACAACAAGATAAAAGGTGATCAACAATGAAAGAAAATAGCGGTTAGTCATAAAAACCTACTACCAACAGAAAGGGAGACCGCATGCCAGTACTACTGTTATGGACACTCTAGACTACCTACCCTACTACCCTAATCCTCAACTTCCATACATTCATATCAAGGGTCATGTCCTCATCAGCTGAAGCTGCGCCATGTCTTGCTTAATCACCCCTCCACGCCTCTTCTTCGGTCTACCTCTACCTCACTGTATGCCTTCTAATGTCAACCTCTCACACCTCCTCATTAGGGCGTCTGTGCTCCTCCTCCTCCTCACATGACCAAACCACCTAAGCCACGCTTCCCTCATCTTGTCCTCAATAGGGTCCGCACCCACCTTGTTGCGAATAACCTTATTTCTAATCCTATCTAACATGGTGTGCTCGCACATCCATATCAACATCCTCATCTCTACTACCTTCATCTTCTGGACATGAGCGATCTTGACTGGCCAACAATCAGCCCCATACAACATAGTCGGTCTGACCACCACTCTGTAGAACTTACCTTTATGTTTTGACGGAACCTTCTTGTCACATAAAACACCGAAAGCGAGTCCCCATTTTATCCATTCCGCCCCAATACGATGTGTGACATCTTCATAAATCTCCCCATCCCCCTGAATAATAGACCCAAGGTACTTAAAACTTTCTTTTCTAGGGATGACCTGTGAGTCTAGCCTCACCTCCCCTTCCCCTCCCTGAGTCTCACCACTAAACTTACACTCCAAGTATTCTGTCTTGGTCTTGGTCAAATTGAAACCTTTAGGCTTCAGGGTATACATACATACCTCTAACTGCGCATTCGCACCGCCTGACGTCTCATTAATCAATACAATATCATCTGCAAATAGCATGCACCACGGCACCTCCCCTTGGATGTGATGCACCAGTACGTCCATCGCCAGGGCAAACAAAAAAGGGCTGAGTGTCGACCCCTGATGCAACCCCATGATCACTGGAAAATGGTCCAGTCCCCACCTTCCATCCTCACTCGGGTATTTGCTCCATCATACATATCCTTAATCACCCTAACATAGGCAACAGGTACACCTCTACCTCCAAACATCTCCACAAAACCTACCTCGGAACTTTATTATACGCCTTTTCTAAGTCGATGAACACCATATGCAAGTCCTCTCCCTCTCCCTATATTGTTCCATCAATCTCCTTATAAGGTGGATGGCTTCTGTAGTCGAACGCCCCAGCATAAACCCGAACTGGTTCTCAGAAATAGACACACTCCTCCTCACCCTTAGCTTTACCACTCTCTCCCAGACTTTCATAGTATGGATAAACAGCTTGATACCCCAATAGTTATTGCAATTTTGGATATCACCCTTGTTCTTGTATACAGGAACCATCGTGCTCCACCTCCACTCTTCGAGAACCCTCTTCGTTCTAAAACTGATATTAAATAACCTAGTGAGCCACTCCAATCCCGCCTTGCCCCCACTCCTCCAAAACTCTATCGGGATTTCATCCGGCTCGGTCACTTTGCCCCTGCTCTTGTTACGCATAGCCCCCTCAATCTCATCAACTCTAATCCGCCTATAATGCCCAAAGTCACAATGACTCCCGGAGAGTTCCAAATTACCAAGTATAATGCTCCTGTCACCCTTCTCGTTCAAGAGACTATGGAAGTAGGTATGACATCTCCGACGGATAAGCCCCTCATCCAACAAAACTCTACCTTCTTCGTCCTTGATGCACTTCACTTGGTCCAAGTCACGAGCCTTCCTTTCTCGCGCCTTGGCTAACCTGAACAACCTCTTATCCCAACCTCGGCCCTCGAGTTCCTCATACAAACAACAAAAAGTTGCAGTCTTGGCCGTAACTACTAGCTTCGCCTCTTTCTTAGCCAACTTATATTGCTCCCTATTCGCCCTCTTCTCCTCCTCGTCTACACTTTCCACTAGCTTCAGATACGCCGCTTTCTTAGTTTCCACTTTTCCTTGCACCTCTCCATTCCACCACCAGTCTCCCTTAATACCACAGGAGTAACCCTTTAAGACCCTTAATACCTCTCTCGTGGCTTCCCTAATGCACTGCGCAGTCGTGGTCCACATAGCGCTTGCGTCCCTATTACTCCTCCAAGCCCCCATAATCAGCAGCCCAACTCCTGCGCTTTAGCTTCCGTCAAGGCTCCCCACTTGATCCTATGTTGGCTATACATCGTCCTCTTCCTCCTCTTCCTCGTGATCTCAAGGTCCATGACCAGGAGCCTATGAAGGGTCGAGAAGTTCTCTCTAGGGATGACCTTGCAATCCGTGAAAATACCTCTCTCGGACTTCCTGCAGAGTAGATAATCAATCGGAGTCTCGGCCACTGAACTTCGGAAGGTGACCAAGTGCTCCATCTTCTTCGGGAAACTCAAGTTTGCTATCACCAAATCAAATGCTCTAGCAAAGTCCAACAGAGACGTTCCTCCTCCGTTTCAATCCCCAAATCCAAAGCCACAATGCACATCATGATACCCCCCAGACGTCGCTCTAATGTGGCCGTTGAAATATCCTCTTATGAAAAGCTTCTCGGCATTTGGGATGCCACGCGCCATCTTATCCAAATCCTCCCAGAAACGCCTCTTGACTTCCTCATCCAAGCCTGTTTTGGGGTGCGTACGCACTGATTATGTTCAAAGTAAAACCTCCAAAAACTAGTTTAATAGTCAACAACATGTCATTAACCCTCCTAACCTCCACCACTAGGTTATGGAGGTCCTTATCACCCAAAATACCTACCTCGTTCCTGCCCCCACCCTCCTACCATAGTTTGAACTCGTCCACATCTCGCGCCTTATATCCTGCCCATCCAGTCTCATGTACACAAGCTATATTAATCTTCCTTTTCTCGAGAATCTTCGCTAAATCTACAAATTTTCCAGTCAAAGTTCCTATGTTCCAAGACCCCACTCTCAGCCTAGTAGCTCCCTTAGCCCTCTTACCCCCTACCCCTTGTACCCCCTCCCCCGCGATGCACCCCCGAGGACATGACCTTACCCTATAATCGTTCACCAAATCCACTATAATCTAGGAGTCACTATGCAAGCATTATCCTGAAAATAAGCGACAAAAATAAAATGAATAAGAAATATAATCTAACACTAAAGGTCGCAAAAAGGTGAAGAAATAAAATAAAGGAACTAAAGGGAACTATAATCTACAACTAAAGGTCAGAAAAACAGGTGAAGAAATAAAATAAAGGAACTAAAGGGAACTATAATCTACAACTAAAGGACAGAAAAACAGGTGAAGAAATACAATAAAAGAGCTAAAGGGGACAATAATCTACAACTAAAGGTTAAACAAAGATTCAAGAACAAAATAGGTAGGCAAGGAGATACAATTAAGATAAAATATCAAACTATCAAAATATCAATACAAGAGTGGAACAATAGAACCCGGATTGCAACCCTTGAAGTTAACAAAAATCTGGCTGGCAGTGATGGACCGCGACAAGCTGGCTTAAAGGGACAATCCGAGAAACCTCGGCCGGTTGTTCTTGAGCCTCGATCACTAGGAGGAGGTGCACGCGCCGAAAAACCACCTGGACATGATATCATGCGCCGACACGTGATGGGAAATACGCCAAAAGATTGACTGGTCTGGGCAGAATCAGCCGATAAATCCCCACACAAACACAGGCGACGAAGGGGAGAGAAATAGAGAAAGAGAAGCACCAAGATACACAGAGTTCCGGCGCCGGATTCCGGCCAGTCATAGTAGAGAAAGAAAATAGAGGATGGAGGGGGAAAAGAGAGAGAAAGAGAAAGAAAGAAGGATGTTCAAAGAAAGTAAGATACGACGTAGAGGAGAAGGGTTAGTACCTTACCTGGTTCACTGCCGGTGGTGCTGGCCAATTGTGTTAATAGGGTCAAACTGATATGTGAAAGGAGAGAGAGAGAGAGAGAGAGAGAGAGAGAGAGAGAGAGAGAGAGAGAGAGAGAGTCGTTCAGCAACACCACCACTTTACTTAATGAAATTAAAAAATAATAAGATATAAAAGATTGAAAGGAAAAAAAAAAAGGCAGCCAGAAAATAATACGCAAAGCTGCAAAACAAAGGGTAAGAAGAAGAACAACAAAACTCACCAAAAAGGGGAAGGATAAGAAAAGATGAGGTGGGAATTGAAAGTGAGTCGTTCTCACAAAAGGGCAAAGAAGATCCCAAATGAAAATCTGAAGGAAAAAAGAAAAAGAAAAAAAATTCATAAATGTTGTTGGGGCATTATTCAAACCAAATGACATCACTAGAAACTCATAATGCCCATACCGAGTTCGAAAAGTTGTCTTAGGGACATCTGATGCCCTAATCTTCAACTGATGGTAGCTAGACCTCAAATCAAGTTTCGAAAACACTTTTGCACCCGTAAGCAGGTCAATTAAATCATCAATCCTCAGAAACGGTTACTTGTTCTTGATGGTGACTTTGTTCAACTGCCAATAATCAATATACATCATCATCGTACCATCCTTCTTCTTTACGAACAACGCTGGCGCAACCCAAGGAGAGACACTAGGTCTAATGATTCTTTTATCAAGCAAATCATGCAACTGCTCCTTCAGCTCCTTCAACTTAGGCGGGGCCATACGGTATGGTGGAATAGAAATGGGCTGAGTGCCCAGAGCCAAGTAAATACCGAAGTTGATATCTCCGTTGGGTGTTATACGCGGCAGATCTGTAGGAAACACCTTTGGAAACTCACGCATAACTGTACTGAATCCATGGAAAGAACCTCCGCACTAGAATCACGGATATAGGCCAAATATGCTAGACATCCCTTCTCGACTATACGCTGAGCCTTCAAATAAGAAATAACCCTGCTGGTAAAATGGATAGGAGCCCCCCCTCCACTCTAATTGGGGCAACCCCGGCATGTCTAAGGTCACCATCTTAGCGTGACAATCTAATATTGCATGATAAGGTGACAGCCAATCCATGCCCAAAATAATTTCAAAGTCCACCATATGAAGGAGTAGGAAATCTACACTAGTCTCAAGGCTACCGATGGAAACCACACACGAGAGATAAACATGGTCTAAAACAACATAATCCCCCACAAGCGTGGACACATATACAGGAGCACTCAAAGAATCACGAGGTATAACCATATATGAAGCAAAACAGGATGACACGTAGGAATAAGTAGAGCCCGGATCAAATAGAACTGAAGCATCTCTATGGATAACTGGAACAATACCTATGATGACGGTGTCAGATGACTCGGCCTTAGGCCTAGCTGGAAATGCATAAAAATGGGGCTGGGCCCCACCACTCTGACCTTCGCCTCTCAGACGGCCTTTAATTGGCTGGCCTCCACCTCTAATAGCCTGAACTCCACCTCTAATGGCATGATCTCCACCTATGGCAGCCTGACCCCAGCCTCTAGCTGGTTGAGTGGGTGGTTAAGCAACGGTGCCGGAACCATGGCACGAGAACTCTGTTGTGGCATGTCACCTGTGACCTAGGCGAAATCTAGCAAGGTGCACCGGATCTCCACAAGTATAACAAGTCTTCGGCTGCTATGACTGCTGACCCTGAAAGTGACCCTGTCGACCTTAATAACCACCTTGATAACTCTGATTTGGAGGTGCACTAATAGGAGCTCATGGTGTACTGTAGGCTAGTTGCTCAGGATGAGATTCATAAGGACCACGACTACCCGAAGCACCGTGAGATGCCTGAAGTGCTGACTGAAATGGCCTGGGAGGATGGCCTCCACCAAAAGTGCCCCTGCCTCTAGATGAGGCACCAGTGATACCTCCCAAATGACGATGTCTCTTATCAGTTACCCCCCCCCCCCCTTCCCCTGACCACGGACCATTTCGATCCGTCTAGCAATCTCTACGACCCTCTAAATAGAAACATCATCTCCGGTCTTCTTGGCCATCTGTAACCTAATACTGAAAGTAAGACCATAAATGAATCTCCTCACTCACTCCCTCACAATAGGTACTAAGATAACTGCATTGCGAGCTAGGTCCACAAATCGGGTCTCATACTAGGTGGCAATCATGCCACCTTTCTAGAGGCACTCGAACAGCCTTTGGAACTCCTCCCTCAGCGTGAAAAGAAATAAACTTCTCTAGAAATAGCTGCGAAAACTGATCCTAGGTAAGTAAAGGTGAACCAGCTGGTATGGTCAGCACATAATCCCGCCACCATCTCTTAGATGAACCGGTCATCTAGAACACTGCAAAGTCGACCCCATTGGTCTCAATAATACCTATGTTGCACAACATTTCGTGGCAACGATCTAAGTAATCTTGTGGGTCCTCAGAAGGTGCACCACTGAAATGAATAGGGAAGAGCTTGGTAAACTTATCCAACCACATCAAGGCCTTAGAAGGCATCGCAGGCCTCTCCTTAGCCCATGTAGCAAGAACGGGCTGTGCTACCCTAATTGGCTATACTGTTGGAGTCTGATATATGGGAGCCACCTGCTTCGGAGGGTGAGTAGCAGGAGTCTGTGCTCCTCTCCTCGCCTGAGAGACAGCTGGTGCCACCGGAAATGCGTTGGTCTGGGCCACACTCTCTATCAGACCCACTAAATGGACTAAAGTGTCCTGAAGTACTAGAGTAGCTATGAATCCCTCCAGGACCTGAGCTGGTCCAACAGGTACGGTCGGAGCTGGGATATCCTCCTCATGGTCAATCTGAGTCTCCACAGGAGGTGCTGCTGCACGAGCTCTAGGCTGAGCCATGCCCCTACCTCGGCCTTTGCCCCTGGTACTAGCTGCAACAGGGGGCTCTGGCTCCTGCCCGGCTATAGATATTGTGCATGTTCTCTTCATCTGCGAGAGAACAAGAATAGAATGATTCAAACATCAATGATAGCATAAAAACCCGCACGATAGAAAGAAGGAAGTGAAATTTTCCTAAAACTCCATAGCCTAGAAGATAAGTACAGACGTCTCCGTACCGATCCTCCAGACTCTACTAAGGTTGCTCATGACTCGTGAGACCTAAGCAACCTAGTGCTTTGATACCAACTTGTCGCGACCCGAAATCCCAACCTCGGGGTCGTGATGAAATAACCAATTTTAATAGTTAAAATACAATAATGATATTCAGCGAGAGATAACTGCCAAAATTAACGTAGTGCT